AGCACCGTTTGCAAGCCGAAGACTAAGGATGTCTTCAAGGGTTAGAAAAGTCACGATATGGCTGACCATCTCGGCGGGGAGCGTTTCAAGAGATGGTTTCATGGCGCTTGCAGGCATCCGGGTCACTTTTTTGTCCGGCTAAGCACGGAATGGAGCGGAAAGGGAGATAGTTGAGAAATAAGTGTGATGCAGGATCTTGCGATACACTGTAGACAGTTCTAGCAACTATCGTCGATGCTTGGTCGAAAGATTTATATTTGGGAACGCGGGGAAAGATAGTAATCAATTCTAATTGGAGAGTTAATGCTCACAGGAACTTTCGGTACTACCTAAAGAAGACAAAGCACCCTATTTGTCTGCAATTAGAGAGAAAAGAGCCGCATTACTGTCGCAGCTAATTACTTAGCAAGTATCGTCTTTGACACCGACCTATATTTATTTGCCGCTTTTTGCTTTGGAGAAAGTCGTGTAGTTTCCTTGATTTCCGTAGAAAATATTGTCAATAATGACTCCAAAAATACAACTGTGGCAGCTATACGCTTTAATCAACTACAAAACTACCAAATATACCAGAACAGAAAAGACCAGCAACTTATAAAAACCCAAATATACGCTGTTTGAAACAGTTTAATCTCACCAGTCTTAATATAATACTCAAACGGGTGCTTGGAATCGTGTTCAGGTGCTATACTTAACAGCCAACAAGGTGCAACAGATAATATTAGAGGACATACCGCAGTTGCATGTCTGTGAATATTCATTCTGTAGTTGATGCAATCCGCCACCAAATACAAAGTTGATAGAATCTCTTCTACAGAGCTCAGAGTCATTGTATACCGCTTTTTGACTGGAACAATCCATTTTGTTCAATGAAAGACTTATCTTGATGTCTTAACAACCTTGTTTAGAATGAGCTAGATTTGTCTCAGTGGTTTCAGTTCGTTCGTTACCAATGATTCTGGAATGAACAATACGTAAAGCTGATTTGATATATAAATGGCGGTTTCCGCTCCTGCTGGACGGCTATCCTATCCCAATAAACACTCGACCACCACTTCCAAGCTAGATTTCAGATCAACTTTAGAACCAATTTTCAAGGTTATGTCGCTATTCTCGAATTCCACTACGTCTGGAAACTCCAGTGACGACATGGAGAAACTCCATCCAAGACCATTCGCATATATGAAAAGCACTGATGCCTGCCCGTTACTACGACCCCATGCATACAAAGCACGAGAGCTTCTAAACGCTACCGTGGCAAGCTTCTATAAAATAAGCGATGTCAACCTTACGCCTCGCCAAGAACGTGCCAGGACAGAATTCATCAAGCTTTTCAAGAGCCATGCCCGGAGACTAAATACCGGGTTCTGTGATGCAGAAATACGTGACATACTGCAGAGGTTGATGGAGTATCTAGACGAATTCTTCTTCTTTGGATCCGTCACGGCACTGGTGAAGAAAATCGAGCTGATATATTTTCCGCCACATGAAGACTTGCTGGGGCAGTGTAATATTGGCAAAGGAACCAGAGCGTCGCCTCAATTCGAAATAACTTTGGACAGGCGTGCTATGAACTATGAGAGATATTATTGGAAGCCAGCCACTGTCTCCGAACTTGTGACGACTTTGGCCCATGAAATGATTCATGTATTCCTGATAGCATTCGTCTGTGACTGTCCCGAATGCATGAGAAACGACTTCAATGCCGTGGGGTTCAAGACCACCTGGCACGGACCCACGTTTCGCGGATTGGATTATGCTGTCATGGTCTCATTGGCTAGCTGGAGCGGCGACTTGGATCGTATAATCAGGACCTGGACTAACGGCACGTTTATCGATGGGCCTTCTCTGAGTGACGAGAAGACGGTAATTGAAAATATGGTACGGCGAGGTGCTTTGAATGGTCTGGATGGCATACGGTATTTACCCTATGTTGAGAAACCCAGCCGTAATCTCGCTATCTTGACCGGTGAGAATAGGATCATTATTGATGTGGAGAAACTTCGGGCGCTTGTCAGGGCAACTGCTGCTTCTTTCATGGACTCTGTGGCAGATGGTGGTCCTCGAGGGAAACCGATGGAAAGTTTCCCTTCAGCGATAGCCGGGTTAGCCTTGGCTGGACTCATAACAGGCTCTCCGGAAGACAGGATGAGCACAGACACTGATTCATGCGTGTCAGGAACCTCGTACTCTGGGGTAACCAATGTCTCTTGTTGTTGCACGAAGGCCCACGTACACCTTCGTGCGCAGGTATCTAATCATAGACAAGAGTTTTTTTATCACTTTTAACAATCTGCAACGGCCTCAGATGAAGGATATGTACCAAACTGGTCCGAGACGGAACCCATGGACTGCTCAGGATAGACAATTGGTATCAGCGGATTGCTCAATTCCACGGACATATTCCCTTATTCTGGCATGTACTTTATGAGTCGTTTGCAATGGAACAGCTCTTGAAATTATTTAGTTGTTCGAGATTTCGTTTGTTCCAATAGAATTTAGGTAATATCTCTTTCAATCAGGATTCTCTTCAACTAAGATTTTCTTGTCACACAGAAACCGAATGGGCAAACTCAAGCTTACATATATATACCCTGTAGCTACAAGACAAAATCAAGTCAACGCTTAGTTATTATACCGAACATAAGCCCAAATACTTGTCTTGTAGATAGTTCTTGTAAGAGTCAGGGAGATAAACTACTTAAATAACATTACTAAGCTACCAGGAGTAATGCTGAATACCTAGGTAATTGATACCGGAGAACTCGAAAGACCTTAGCATCTGAGTTTTATGAAGGTAGCATCGAAGGAATAAAGGGTGTAGCTTTGGAATCAAATGCTTCTGTCACAAAGTATACAGAATACAACGAGACATTTGCATATAGCTAGATAATTGCCTACGAAGGTTTTGAGACCTTCGTGCAACAACAAGTGCCTATACCTACCCTGAAGTAAGAGGTTCCTGACAGCTTCTCCCTAGCCGTTGATAGTATGTATTATGCTCCAAGGTGCGATTATTTGATTTCTTATCGGCGCCTTGGATATCGTACGGTTATTGGCGATCGTAATGTATCACGGCGCAATACGCAATACTTTGGCACCTATTTCGAAATTGCTTGCCAGCCTTTCCGGCCGATATACCCAGTCACACCCTCATCCCTCAGTACTTCGCTGCCCAGCCGTCCTGTGACTACACTCCGTTCGTGCTCGACACCACGAACGTAGAATGGGTAGGCTAACCGTGGCGCGGCTGATCCATCTTCATCTATTTCCCTCGACGTCTCGCTATCTTCTGAAGGAGCATCTGTACTCTCCCAAACTGTCCTCCCTTCCCTCCGTCGCTTCATGAACCCACTAGCCTCACGGTCTAGGGATAGATACCACCGCCGCTGATGCACGCTACCGATAGAATTCGTTGCGCCAGTGTACGCGTTCGTCCTGCGAACTTCCTCGTCCTCAAGCTCGCGTAGTTCGCGTTCCGTCGCAGAAATGCCCTTCTCGGCCTCTCCGACCTGCTCGACAGGGGCCTGCACGATTTCTGCGTCGTCTTCGTCATCACCAGCGCCAGCCTGCTGCTTCCCAGTATTTCCAAACTCTGGTTCCGAATCGGAGCTAGTGGAGGGTTCAGGCTTCTTGCCTTTAGCAGTAGACCTAGTTACCCTTCCCGAGAGCGTGGACGGTGCACCGCGTCGCCTCCGCGTCTTGAGCACCCGTGTACTGCGTGCTCGGCCTGCAGCGTCTTCCTCGCGTGTTAGACGTAGATTCAACACATATGGCGTCGGCAGGCGCGAACCGTGAAGCTGTAAACGGATCTTTCGCGCCGCGAAGGCCTGATGCAGCTTTTGCTGCTCTGTTAATTGCGGCGAGCCGCCGTCTTCGTCGGAAGAGGACTGCGAGTCATCCCGCGACTGCTTGCGCTCTGTCGGTAAGATGGTGTAGGTTCCCGTGTCCCAGATGATGAGAGAACCGGTGGCGTGAGATGCGGTTTCAATAAGGTGGTTCTGTTGCTTGTTAGCGTATCAGTCGGCGATGTGATGCACACAGTGAATGACGCGGGTAAAGAGAGTTACTTGCCCATAAACAGTGTATTCGTGTCTCGGTTGCATTTCGATTCAACCGAAAACTATTCGGATCCCCGGGGAGTCCGTACATGATGGCCCATGACGCACTGCTCGTCTCATTGATTTGCAGCCGTAGGTCGTAATGTGTGCCTGCAATGGGATGGTCATGCTGATGGACAATGAAATGCGCTCCTCGAGAACTTCCCGCATTGGCCTCGTACAGCTTCCGATAACCTTTCACAGAGAGATGAGGCGTGTCTGCAGGAAATGGTGATAGAGTAGTCTTCGCCAGACGCGTACTGAAGTAATTGAGGTGGTCGTCTATGCTAGCTTTGCCGGCTTCGATGGCGGAGGTGGTTGGCTGCTCCTCATCTTGACGACGCGAGGGTTCTCTGTCCTCGTCGGAGCTGCCTGAGCTAACGGCGTCATGGGGCAAGCCGGTGATATCGATGCTCCATTCTAGATTTCTCTTCTTGATGAAGGGGTTCGGGACCAATTCTGGGCCGCGCGATCGTTTGGTCGCCATGATGAATCACCGCTAGTGGCTTGGTTGGGATAGATGAAAGTAACACAGTAGGAGAGCGGAGCTGATTAGAGCACCATCCCTGACGCATAGCGGGTGCAGAGAACCTTCAGAGGTGAGCGACAGAAGTTGCTACACAAGGCCCTTTTGATTCGTTATGCAAGACATTGATTAACTCTCGCCATAGCCAGGAGAGCCAGAGAATAGGTGTGTCTGGTTTTGACTGTCGCTGAGCAACTTGTTTCGGACTAACCAGCAGAGACGAATTGCATATCTGGTAGCTAGAAAATTGTCACAGCAACATAAAGGATCAAATATTCAGTCGGTGTCACAGGCCGATGTCACCATGCACGTCTTCCTGCTTTAATAACCTGCTAAAAAAGATGTCTATCCAGGGTGAATAGACAAAATAATAATGATGAGAGTGGGACTCGAACCCACGCGGATTGCTCCACTGCGAATTTTGTTCATTATGTCTGACGACATACAAGTTCAGGGTTAGCCTGAACGCAGCGCCACAACCACTCGGCCATCTCACCATACCGCTGTGCACGGACCAATTATGCATGTTGGTTGGCTTTCAATGCGTCATATAGCAAGACTAGATGTGAAAGCGATTAAGATATTATTAAAGAAATACCTAAAAGATAAACAAAAGAAAATAACCCCACGCGAGATTCGAACTCGCGACCTTAAGATGCCTCTAAATTCTTAGAAGTCTTACGCGCTTCCACTACGCCAGTAGGGCCAATGTGTTTGGTGCCTGTGAACTTATAGGTATAAGTAGCAGGAGTGTATCCAGGGCCCTTGAGACATCTCTCTAACAATAGGGTTCTTGACATACCTACTAGCTTGTTTCCTATCAAGCAATGACCACGCACATTTAAGCATGCGTGTTAATTGCTGCTAGCGAAAGCGTTGCAGAGAGTGCTACAAAAATAGTATTGCTTCAGAGAGAGGGGGAGATAGGATGAGAAGATAGGATAGGGGAACAAAACTATATTTCCACATACGCAACCTCTCACAGTATTCAATCATATATAGAGCATGATACGATCTATCGTAGCCTTCAGCAGAGCACGGTGCCTAATCTTCGACATAGAAAAGTTCTCCGAAATGTTTGGCTCATCGTCGCGCGGGTTCCCCCTGAATACATTCTGCAAAGGCTCTGTTGAGTCTCTACATAACTCTATCCTGTGATCTGGTAATGGCTACCGCAGAGCCAATTTCATGCAATTGTGGGAACATCCAGACGATTTGAGATTGGATGGCAACAGTTCTGACAAGTGATACGAGATTTGGACGAATATTCTCGATGCTGTGTTTTGCACCGCATTCTCTAGTCATCATGGAGGTCTACAACCTGTGGGTGGCGAGCTTTGCGAGACTGTTGGGAGCATTGGATTAAATATCATGACAACTTTGATTCCAAGAGACAAGAAATCATTATAGTCGCTGACGATGCAGTGTATGAGCGGACTTAAACACTCGCCCGATGCAAAAATTCGCCATTGACACACATTCAGAGCTGCTACTAAAGCCAATAAGCCGTATATTCTCTTAGCAAAACGACCGGTATTTCAGCAAGAATTCCGCAAAGCTCTTGAAATATCATTTATAACTGGGCGTATCGTCGAATCAAGGAACAAAGACACAAGCTGGGATGACGTAGCAAAACCTCTCCGTGATGGGATTAAAAATAAGAAGGGGGTTAACAATGGACGGTATCAGCATACTGTCTACGGAACAGCTGCAACGATTCTACAACAATTTGGTACTACCTGAGCATGTGGAGTTATTGAGTGAAATCAGGGTATCACAAGGGACGTATAAGAGGCTTGGAGATAGACTCAATTCGACCATAATCCACTAGGGGGCAACTAGGTCTTTGACCATTCGGAAGACTTCCTAACCCTCCCTTAGAATATCGAGGCTTTTTATACACATCGTCGGTATTGCTAACCTCCGACCTCCGACCCAATGTCTCAGATTAGCGAGGGCTGAATAGCCTCACCGAGACTATTGCCAATACTCTTTTTAGCGCGTGTTACGTCCGTAGACATCACCGAGACCTGCAGCCTCGTATTCAGAACGTGTAACACTTCCGTACAACACAGGGTCTGCAGGATAGCTCTCACCGTGGTTTGCCGCTTCTTGCGTCAGCAGACAGATAAAGGGCGTCCAGAGGCGAATGGCGACGTGATGAATGTGAGACGCCACCTACTACATGCTAACCTACATATTATTAATACCTACCTACTTCTCTACGACATATCTGTGCTAGATACATACGAGCTATGTAGCAACTTAGATACTTACCTACCCTAGTTCTACCCCCCTACCTTACCTCTCTCCCATATTTTACCTTCGTTCTTAACATACACTTTGAAACAGAGCTCCTAATATTATTGTGGTCCTCCAACCTACGCAATTACTCCGCGCCCACATTCCCGAAATTTGTCTGTTCGTAACGACCATGGCGCTCCCCGCGTCAACAAATTCTGTTCTAGCTTATACTCTCTCTCTTTTCATCTCCTCTGTAAGGCATCTTCACAGTTGATAGAAATGAAAATGGATGTTAATATTCACTGTCATCGTTGTCTAGCTTCTCATTTATGTGAGCTACCTTGTCCTGCTACACCCCTTGCGCAAATTCCCGGGGCCACTCGTAGCAAAAGTGACCGACTGGTTTGCTGGCTTTTATTCTCTCAAGAAGAATCTGCATGTAGAGATTCTGCAAACCCACCAGAAATACGGTAAGATCAAACACATCTCGAACCCCCTCCCATCATTTGACCTACTAGAGAAGCAACTAAATGCTAGTTTCTCGATCTTGAAGACTCTAACTCTGGTGGCACAGGCTCCGTAGTGCGTCTAGCACCAAACAGATTAGTTTTCAACACTCTAGAAGCCTTCCAAGGTACTTTATGTCCTCCTGCGGACTGTCATACCTATCCTGATTTCGATAGATATATACACAAATGATCGCGTGTCCAAGTCGTACACATACGGGAGCTCTGCGAGAAACAACAACGACAATGTTTTTACCACCCGCAACAAAGACGTGCATCGAGCTAAGAGAAAGTTGATAGCCCCTGCTTTAAACGAGCGAGCCGTGAAATCGTTCGAACCACTACTGATTGAACAGGTTGACGTGTATCTCAGACAGATTCTAGCAGCCTCGAAAAACTCCGAGCCAGTGAATATGTCGGAGAAAGCGGGATATCTAGCCTTGGACATTGTCACTCAACTTAGTTTTGGTCGCTCCCTCAATGTTCAGACCAGTGACGAGAATCGCTTCGTCTTGAAGGCGCTCACATTTGGGTTATTTCGTGGCAACGTTTGGTATCATGTATACTACCTCTCTCGGCTCTGGGCCGACAGCCTTCTCGACTGGGTATTCTACGATTCGAGGGAGAAATACTCACGCCTACTGCACAAGATGATCCAGGACCGCGTTGCCAGAGGCGCGAACGGAAAACGCGACTTCTATGCTTTCATCACCGAGGGCACCGAGGCGAATGACAAATCAAGAGAAAACATGTGGTGGGAGGCTCACTTCCTCGTCGTGGCAGGTAAGTCCAGCATGGAGAAAACCCCCCGCTGCTGTGATTAAATGGAACTTCTAGGCTCCGATACAATATCAACAGCCGTGAGCGCTACCTTCTTCTACCTCTCCCGAAATCCTGAATGTTATAAAGCGCTTGCCAAGGAAATCCGCTCTACCTTTAACAGTGCCGACGAGATCAAGGGTGGTCCTCAACTGGCAAGTTGTCGTTATCTTCGAGCTTGCATCGACGAGGCATTGCGTATGGCGCCACCAGTCCCTGGATCCCTGTGGAGAAGCCAGGACCCGAACGACCACCAGCCTCTCGTTATAGACGGACATGTCATTCCAAAAGGTACGCTCTTCGGAGTCAGCGCATATGCTCTGCACCACAACGAGGCGTACTTTCCAGATTCGTTCTCATATAAGCCTGAGCGCTGGCTCGAGCCACGCCATACCGGTAAACGATCTGCACATGATGCATTTGCAGCTTTCTCAACGGGGTCCCGCGGGTGTGCAGGCAAACCCATGGCGTATCTGGAGAGTAGTCTTATTGTGGCTAAGACTTTGTGGTATTTCGACTTCGATGCAGCACCGGGAGCACTTGCTAATGTTGGCGCCACTAATGGTAGCGGAGAGCAAGCAGGTGAATTCAGACTGGAGGATATCTTCACTACAAGGCATGACGGCCCCTATTTGGTCTTTCGCCCTCGTGGTGAGCTATGGAAAGAGCTGGTATAAGTTACTCTCTTATTTGGTCTTACACTTCAAGAACAGCTTGCACGAAAGAGAGAAACGACATTCATTTGCGACAGCCTGCTTGGCTGGATTAGTGGAGCTCATTCAGGCAGTCAGGGAAGAGTCCCTTTGTGAATGAGAAATGGTTGCTATGGAAATGTCACTCGCTCACACAATTCGCCTGTAACTGGCTGCAGACTTTGCATAAAATAGCTTTGCCATTTCTTGCAATATGTAGTCCATTTTGTTACAATACTAGGTACCTATAATTATGTTTTAGCCAAGGAAATATGTCTCAGTAGGTATCAAGCCCAGTTTTCTAATAATAATAGATTCCTCAATCTGATTATACCTCCTATACTAAAACACAAAGTAATTGGCTAGTCTAGTTGGTATACTGAGAAAGAAATTAGCATATGTAGTCTGAACGAGCTTAAGTAGATCTGAAGCTCGAGGGAAAGAGATATTAGATTATGTCACGATCTTAGAAGACAAAGGACCTGAAGTGTATATAGTTGCGGCCTATGTAACTCTTATACTAAGGCTTCTGACACATTGCTTGGCTCTTTTGCCACAAGGGTGAGCTAATGATGGCGAGACTTAAAGATGCTCAAATCGATGCGCATGCGATACAGGCATCGAAACTCAAGGAAGTCCTTGGACGAGTGGCCAGTCGGGATCTCGACATACAAGATGTCCTCTGTAACTTGGAGAAATATTTCTAAGAACCCATTCTTGATAATAGAGCCAGCCTTTTCACTAGTTAGAGACTTCCAATGTATGAATATGATTAGATTTTCCCAATGCCCTAGGAACTGTTGATGCTGGGACGGGGCGCTGTGGCTGTGCCACCAATTATAGTTATCTAGGCCTACGGGCGTTAGTTAGAACTTTCTACCGAATACAAGCACGAATTTGACCCATTACGTATACACTGGTTTCATTTGGTGTTAAACATACCCTTCGCCAAGCGACGGTTCGAGGATTGCGGTATCTCCTTCAACTTATCGATCAGCCTCTTTTTCAATTCCCTCAAGTCCATGGCTGAGGTTGCGGAAAACATACCACGTCGAGAGAGGCGGTCTAGTGTAGTTGTTATCAGTCCCGGAAGTAATCGCTTGAGACTGTGAATTAACGTTGGGGAACCGGCTCGTCCGGGATCAACTACAAGAGAATCCACGTTCAACATCTATATATGACAATCCACTTACATCCTACTACCATTTAATTGCTTTTCCTATCAGATCTTACTTCAATGCCGATGCTACAAATAGGCCGTATAGTGCTTGCGGCTAGTATTCATCAAGGATCACCTGCTATTACATCAGGGTTTAATGGTGCAGATGCTTTGAGTTTCACGGAAGGAGGAATTACTGAAGGCAACGAAAGTAGTCCTTACACACTCAAGTCGCATTCTTGGGTAAGCTGGCAGTCTATGCGACATCTGTTCAAGGTTAGCTACG